TGCTACTGGGTGATATGTCTTCTTGGCATCTGCCAAGAAAGGCCAGACATATGTTCCCTTTACGCTTTCTTTGTTCTTTCACAGTTGAGAGGCTCTCATGAAGAACAACCCTTCACAAGTCACTGATGGGATCAAAGCCTTGGGCCAGAAGAGCATGCAGGTTTTGGAGCGCAGCAGGAGGTCAGACCTTTCTTTGGTCAAAATTCTGAAACTCCACGGTAGCCAGCATGGCATTCAGAAAGAGGCTGTTTTTTTGGAGGAGCATGTTAATGTTCTAACATGCTGCCATGGGCTCTCTTTGGAAAGCTTATGATGCAGTATTAACTGTGATAATTTTGGGGGATTCACATCTGTTGCTGCTCTTCGTCTTCATTAGGTCACAGGCAGCACCTGTAAATTCTGATTCACAAATGTGTGTGATTTATAAGTTGCTGTGGGCCTCTCTGAAAGAGAAATACCCTCACAGGGTATCTGTGCAAATAAAACTGCCCTGACACATGGGTATCTCTGAAAAGATCCACTTTAGACTGAGCTGAAACATCTCCTGGTGGAGTTGTCCAACTGATGCAATCATGGCTCCGCATCAGGAATGAGACCTGGTCATCGTGTCTTTGTTAGCTGGGTTTGGCACTGGCTGTGGCCACCATGAATGACCTGAAGTGTGGGCAGTAAGGAGGCTCCTGGGCTGGAGGCAATGAGCTGGTTGCTCTGGAGAGCTGATGTGGATGCCTACAGGGAGCACGGGGAGATGCCCAATGCACCTGGAGACAGTAGGCCAGGAGTCTGGGGGGACAGCAGGGCTGGGCAATACCCATAACAGTGATGCTGAGCAGATCTGGGGCTGAGTCTGACTTTCCTCCTTAGCTGCTGCGAAGGGAAGGGCCCTGCAGTAGGTCTCTGAAGAGCCATCCCTCCTTCTCTCTCTCAGATGAATGAGAGGGAAAAATGGGCTCTACTGCATTCTCTGCAAGAGATGCTGGGTGCTGCCCAGGTGTGGCAGCCTTGTAGCAATGCCAAGACAAGCCAGTGGCTCTTTTTCCTGCCTGGGCATGGCCACGCCATTACCAGTCTCCAGGCTGTGGCTATAATGGCAGAATGCTCTGCCCACGCTGGTTTTAATGGTGCGCTCTGTACTTGGCCCCTGAAGAAGGGGAAACCTATGGTGGTTTCTGCACAGGTCTGATCTGGGAAGAGATGTGGAGTGCAACACTGGCATATGGTCACTGCATGGAGATGGTCTCAACAAGCTCATCACCTGCTTCACTGTCTTTTCAACAGTATCTCTCCTCCAGAGCTGCTCCTGGGCAGTGGAATGCTCCCAGCAAAGAGCCATCCTACAGGAACAAGGCCAGTTCAAACATGGATGCCAGACATGTGCATATGTCCCAGAGGCAGCTGGTCTGGTTGAGAGACAGCATGTAGCAGGGGTTGGCTGGTGCATCTTCAGCTCTGGCTGAAGCAGCATGAGCCTGCGGATGACAGAATTCCCAGATCCCTACCTTTCTCTCTCAGCACAGTCCATAACAGGCTGGAGATACCACCGGAGCAGCGTGTACAGCTGGGACCCTGCAGCAGGTAGGGGACAATTGTGCCTGGGTACAGCAGTGGGTGGACAGAAACTTACCACACACAGCGTCCCTCAGCACCAGCCTGTCCACTGTGGCATTCAGCCAGCGCTGGCTTGTCTTCTCACTGTGCACGTACCTGGCAGCTCAGTCCTTTACGAGATGGAAATTGAATTTATTTAAGGGTCTCTCCTTTAGGTAAAAGAGATCAATAAAAGAGAAGGGGTAAGGGCACAAAAGCAAGATCTCAGAAAGAAAGGCTGAACTCTGCTCTAAGAGATGTGAAGTAGAAAGGCACAGATAGTGGATTAAATAAGTGCTGTTCATTTTCTCCTACAATATCACATAACTGCCTCCAGCATGATAGATGGCTTTTATCTATCCTGCTTTTGAGATAAGGTTTTCTTAAAAATTACCACAGATATTGGAATCTTTTTTTTTCAGAAGATGTAGCCTGAAGCATTCCTGACTACCTGGCAATCCCAAGCAAGAGATTAGTTAAGAGTTTACTGAACTCTCTTACTAACCAAAGAAAAACCAGGATGGATCTCTACTCCACTTCTGTAATTTCCATATTGCCATTTTTACTTCAGGGAAATAGAACTATGGAAGATATGCATCGCTTTGGAATTTTAACATCTGGGAGAAGTCATGTGAGTTGTTTCTTGCCCTCTCTCTATTGGTTTCTTAAACAAATGATAATAAGCTACTAAGCTACTTATTCTAAGACTAGTTAGGAGAAAAAACCTGTACAGTGCTAGAGCTCATATTTTTATATTTTATTAATAAATCAGGGCTTGCAGCTGGACTTTTGCCACCCCATTATTTGAAAAATGGGAGTTGAGCCATTCGGCAGTGCACCAATCATGATCAATTCCAATCATTCCAATAAGCGAGATATTAGTTTAGGAAACCCTGGCAACCTCTCGTATTTTGATGAATCTTCTCATGGCCCTGCATCATTAAACAACCTCAGTACTTAATGTATGAGGGTTATAGGAAACATAGCTGTCACAGAAGACGTTTCCTACTCATTTTCTAAGGTCGTGGATCTCTTGGGTTGTGAATTAGCTGGCTCAGGGATGGCAATAGGCAGTTTGGCCCTGAGGAAAGTCATTTGCCCAACTCTTGGACATGGGGAATGCAATGTATCTGCAACAGGTCATCTTGATTTTGATGCAGAGCTGAGGACATGGTGGGCCCCCACAGCATCCTGCTCTGGGCAACTGCAAAGCCCCTTGCTCCCCGGTCCAGGCAGGATGTATAGAAGCAGAAACAGGAGCTACTTTTATAGAATCATAGAATATCTCCCGTTGGAAAGGATTCAATAAGGATCATTGAGACAAACTCACTGCTCCTCACAGGCCTACCTAAAACCAAACCACGACTAAAAGAGTCGACCAGACACCCCCTGAACTCTGACAGGCTTGGCGCTGTGACCACTTCCCTGGGAAGGCTGTTGCAATGACTGACCACCTTCTGAGTGAAGAACCTTTTCCCAGTGTCCTGTCTGAACTTCCCCTGACACAGTTTCATTCCATTTCTTCATGTCCTGTCACTGGAGAGAGGAGAGCAGTATCTCCCCCTCCACTGTCTCCCTTTAGGAAGTCATTTTAGGAGGTCACTCCTCAGCCTTCTCTTCTCCACTCTGACCAAGCCGAGTGATCTCAGCCGCTCCTTTTAAGTCTTGCCCTCGAGACCTTGCACCATCTTGGTCACCCTCCTCTGGACACACTCTAATAGTTTGATGTCCTTATATTGTGGCATCCAAAACTGCACACAGTACTTGAGGTCAGCAGTGCAGAGTAGAGCACTTCCCTCGACCAGCTGGTGATGCTGTGCCTGATGCACTCCAGGATATGGTTGGCCCTTTTGACTGACAGGGTAAACTGCTGCCTCACATTCATCTTGCCATTGACCAGGATGTGGTCAACTCTTTCTGCAGGGCTGCTCTCCAGCATCTCATCCCCCCAGTTTTTACATAAAACTAGGATTACCCCCTCACAGCTGAAGAATCTGCCACCTGCTCTTGTTATGTTATACCAGAAAGCAAAATGGCACCAAGCAGGTATTCCTCAGCCTTGAGACAAACTGGAAAAGATGGCCTGGCCATGTCCATTTACTAAACACTTTCAGCTTCTCAAACAAGGTGGCTGCATCCAGGCTGTTGTTGGCTTGGGCTAACTCATGGCTGTGCCTAGGAATCATCTGGGAGAATCCTAGATGGCCTGAGCCAAAATTGTGCCAAGGATCTTGTCAGTTAACCAGGTAGCCACTCCTGCGAACACTGCCTGTCACTGCTAAATTTCCTAGCATAGGCATAGCTGGGATCATCATCTGTCAGTAGATGTGATCCAGCAGCACCATCCATCTTCTTCCCTAAATGAGGCATTTGATGTGCAGAAGCCCATGTTAAGTCCTCCCCTTAGGATTAAACTCCACTTCAGCAAATCCTACTGTAACTAAAGAAGTAGAGGGATTTCTTTTTAAAAGTAAAATGAAAAGGGGGGGCAATAAATCAGAGACTCCATAAGCACAGTCAGTGTGACTGAAAGACATTAGATTGAAAAACAGCATGCATTGGTTATAAAAGAAAGAGTTTGTTTAAAAAGTTAAAGTTTCAAATTTAGGAAGACTGATACAAACCAAAACACATGAAGGTACAGAGCCAGCTTTCACTGAAGAGATTAAAACCCCCTCCATTTCCACTAGCCCCTCCCATGCTAGTCCTTCACCAATTGAAGCAGGGAGGGGTGTTTTCTGAATCTTCCAAAGCAATCCAAGGTTTGTGGCTTCTGTGGTCAACATAGATGCTCGAAGTTGGATTTGCTGCAGCATTTTCAACCCCTACAATGACTCCTCAGGTCAAGGTGGGAGGCAGGTGCTGGGGCCAGAGCTCCCCACAGCCCCCAAGCAAGGGTGGTGGGAGGAAAGCTGCCTGAAGGGTTGAAGCAGTTTCTCCTGGCAAGAGTGGTCCCTGCCCACCCTGGGACAGCAGGACGGCTCAGAGAGGTGGGAGAGGAGGAAAGTAGATGCCTGGCTTGGAATAAAGCCTGGGGAAGGTGAGGGGAATGGCTCGATCCACTGGTAAGGCAAAGCAGGGCCTCAGAAAGAAAGGTGACTTGTCTGCCTGGAAGGAAGAGCTCCTACCTCTGGCTGCTTGCTGAGATCCTATGGACTTCCTGGGTCCAGCACAGGTTCCCGCTCTGGGAAGGAGGGAATGAGGGTGGTGAGGCAGCAGAGAGGTGAAAAAGGAAAGGAGGGTATGAAAGGAGAAAATGCCAGGACTAAGAGAAGGAACTACATGGGGACAGAGGGAGAGACTTGTTAAAAACAAAACACTGGGCTGAGGCACACCAAGGGGAGGGACACCAAGCCCTGCAGAAGTCAGAAACCAAATGCAGTTACAAACGCCACATATTAAAGACATGCAAGTGGTGACATATTGTATTTTAATGCAAAGTTTAATGTCAAAATTCTTTTAAAAATAAGAAAAACCCCAATCTGCTATATATTTTTTAGCTCCCCCCATTTCTTAGCTCCCCAGGAAATGCCAAAGGCTGGCTCCTTGGGGGTACACTGCAGACAATCCACATCCCAGCCTGCAGAGCCCCAGCCCAGCAGCAGACCAGGGCACCTGCCTGAGCCACCACCTCTGCCAGCATTGGTGCAGATCCAGGGTCTGGCCTCTTTGTGCCAGGGACAGGCAGCTGGGCCAGCGAGGTGTTGAGGAGGTGCAGGTGTCCAGGCACAGCACTGGAGAAGGCATCAGCAAATGGTTCAAAAGAAACAAACAAACAAAAAGACCAGGTTTCACTTTCATCTCTTTTACGTAACATCTTGCTAGATGAAAAGCCATTTGCTGCAGCCATTGCATGACTAATTTAAATCAAGCTGGATTTTGAGCAGATGAACTAGGGAAGCCCTTTCTTCTGTGGCTGAAGACTATGGAGGGTGAGGAGGGGGAGCACTGGCAGCAGCTTATCCAGCTGCTGTCTCTGTCCCACCGTCTCCTGTGTCAGAAGCGTTGAACTCGCTTCATGCAGCCAGACTAGCTTAAAGAGCCAAAGTCAGAGCACCTAGAAGCTGCTCAACGAAATAGGTAGAAATTTAGTTTGGTGCTGAATTCTGCCTCTGCCCAAATCAGCTGAAATTTGCCAGTGGGTTCAAGAACATACTGTTCTTGACTAAAATTTGTTCCATAGGAAACAAAGCCAAAGTAAAGAAGCTGCAAGTCAAAGACAATTGCTTTACAGAGAAGTAACACTTGACCGTTTCTTAGAAAGGCACCTCCTCAGAAGCACTCCCCTGCCCAAGGGCTGGCACAGCTGAGCCAGCACACCTTCCCAGGGCAGCCCCACCTTGCTGGCATGCTCAAGCATGGGGCAGCCTGGAAAAGCCTTGCTGTTAACTTGCCCAGGCAAACCTTTACAGAAACCTCTGTCCTCTGAGACAGCGTACCCACTGGCAAATATGTTGCTACACAGATCTGCACCATGTATCTTCTCCTAGTGCCAGGTCTTTTGACAATGTATAATTAAAAAAGCCAGGCCATTTTGTTAGCAGTCACTACGTACAAATTTAGCAACCTAAGCCAGTGATGCCAAAGTCCTCTTCAGTAATGCTCCGGGGCCAGATGCCTCGCAGTCACACATCATAAATTCCTTTCTGCTATTTCCATCTTGTATTTACCCAGCTCAGTGTGTAACAGCTACTGGCGTTGAAGGCTTTCTTCTTCAGGAACATCTGTGGTTTTGATAAGTCTTTGTAGGTATAGAAAAGCCTGAAGTCCTTCAGCTCCAGTTCTCGGAGCAGACTGTACCAGTACCGCACCACCGTGCTGTCATTGCCGCTAACTTCAAATCCAGGCCAGTGGATGTGCACCTCAAAGACCAGCTGTCCTATCTGCTCAACAACATCTTCCAGGATCAGGTTTTCCAAAATTTTCCACTCAGCACTCTCCACATCTGCCTTGAGGACATCAATCTGCAACAAAAGCACCATTACTATGTGAAAATGAGAAACTTTGCAATTATAGTTAGAAACAACTGAGGCCAGGCTTGACCATTCTTTAATATACATAGTTGTTCTTATGTATAAATAATTTTGTAGTAAAAAAAAATGAAAAAATCTCAGAGGACTAACAGGGGCAGTACATGATTTTTCACGCTTGCCTGTTCACAGCCCTTCTCCTCCTGCCTCCAACTCCTGGTCTGAAAAGCTATGTATCCCAAGGTGCCGATGCAGCTCCTCCTACAAACAAAGCATGTTACTGTTTCTTCACAATTCTTGTGGTGGCACCACATCTATGAAAGAAAGAAACCTACCTAACTAAACACAGACACTAAGGCACGACTGTTCCTTATTTCTCCGTCACAAAATTCCGTGGCAGATCTAAACACACTAACAGTGTTTACTTGCACCACAGTCGAGTGGGGTCCTCATGAGCCAGATGCTACATGCTCCACACAAGCGCAGGAGAAGGCCAAAGTGAAATGAATACGAGAGCAGCTCAGGTCAGCAGGCATCACTACAGATGCTGAGTGAGGAGGATCAAACCAAAAGATAATTATGCAGAGTCTACAGGGTTTTAAGGGCAGCTCCTCCAAAGAAAAACACATAGCAGGAAAGAAGCTGTGAAGGTGTTTAAAGGGAATAACAGATCTAATAGAAAAGTTCCCTGTTCTAGTTTTAGACCGTTATTTAATTTTGTGGTGAGATGTTCAGCAATCCAACTTCTCACAGCCCTACACAACTGTGGGTTGACTTCACCTGGAGATTAGTGGGGGCAGGGGAGCTGTAAACTTTAATGAAAAATGAGCATTTCATCACCTTTTCACACCTGGTAGAAAACAATGACTGCAGTGGAGTAGCGATCACAAGCTGCAGAGCTCAAGGGTTTGTGTTTCCCAGAGCCACACAGGGGAAACTCCCACAGTGTGAGAGTATAGGGTTCGCCTGTGCCAGTTCCACCTGAACTGCTGCTTCTGCCCATCTGCTCACACTCAAGATATGTTTGAAGTGAAAAACTGAGTTAATTTAGAGTCAAGAATACTGGGGAAAAAAAAAAAGCCAACAAAACCCAAACCAAACAACAACAACAAAAACCAAACAAAACCCCCAGATTCCCTCACACCTTAACTGTCATGGCAGTATTGAAAAAGGCACCTGTGCAGGTACAGGCCAGAAATTTGGGCAGGTAATGTAAAAGCATTGCAAAGGCAACTGTTTTCCTAAGCTGCACCATCCCAGGATGCCTCGCTGGTGTCATGCCACGCCCCATCCATGCTGGCTGGGGCCCCGGCTCACAGACCCCTCTGCCCTGGGTGCAGGGCAGGGGTTGTACTGTGAGCACGTCTCCTGTACCACCAGAGCTCTGCATTGCATGGGCCATGGCCAGAAACCATAGGGCTGTGGCAAGGGGTATCTACCTTCCCTTGTTCTCTGGATGGCTGACTGGAGACACAACGGGTTGATCTGCTGAGGTGCAGAGCTCACAGCCACGTCAGCCCTACTCAGGGGCTGTGCTCCAGCACTACAGATGGGCATTGGATGGCAAGAGTCTGTAGGTGCTGAACGTGTGCCCATTCTGTTCTCCATCTGTAAAACAAGGGTATTAACCATGGAACACCCTCTACAGAGTACGGGGGTTGTGCCAATGAAGGGCTGCAAGACTTCAGCAGAACAAGCTGTAAAACAGCTGAAAATAACACACTGCATTTTCAGAGCAGGACTTCGGAGAGTGGGACTTGAATGAGGTCCATGGTCACAGCCCGAATAATAATAAGCCAAGCTGCTGCTTGTCTGCTCATTAAGGCGGCATTGTGCCTCCTCCATGCTGTGGAAGGCAGGGAGCCAGTGGAAAAAGACTGAGGGATTATGGAATTAAAGCCCATATTGTGGCATGTCCGCATGGGGAGCAGAGAGGAAGGTTGCACAGACAACCTCAGCTCTGGTATTTCCTAACTTGACTCTACAACAAAGAGCCTGTCAGTCTGTCCATCCGTGGGTCAGTGAAATAGTTGAACATAAGGCTCCCCTGGGTTCAAGGGGAGGCTGAATGTAAATGATGCTGCTCATGACATTTCAGCTGAGAACTACTTCATGGGTGAGCTCACTTGTTTTCCTTTATACATTTAAATAGGTTATTTATTTTTCAAATACCAACTCGCATCTCTACCTGTAATGCAATTTTGCAGGCAGTTCATTCCGCATGGGTGCAATTGCCATAGGACCCCACACTGCTGCACTTAAGATACCAAAGATTTTTATCTCTGGGAGACTTCTGTAACTTTGAAAGCAGACAAATTATTCAAAACCTTATATTCTTCGGTGATAGAGCAGGGGGGTGGGTGTATAGGGGAAGAAATGTTTCTATGCATTTGCTTTTGTTTTTCCGTGATCTTACTTTATGGCAACAGTAGGTCATCATACAAGTTTGTTTGTTTTCTTTTGTGACACTAACTGCTGCTCTGGCTGCTTGGCAGGACTCTCATGCTCTGTGTTGTATTTGCAAAACTGATCTGAAAAGTGGCTGCTAACCAATGTTTCAGTAGGAGAAAGTGAGTTACCACAATAACTCCTTAAAAACACACCAAAATGACCAGGAAAGAAACACAAGGCTAGTGGGGATGTGCTGCACACACAAACCAGAGGCTCATTGCTGCCTTTCGTGCTGTGCACTGCTCAGAGACCTGGAAGGAGGAGGGTACCTGTCTCTACCCACCAACTTTTATGACTGCCTTCCAGGCAAGGTGCTCCTTTCAGCCCAGAGTCTCCATTTTATGCCACGGACAGTGCAAAATAAACGGCAGAACAGCTCTGTGTCAGAGGATCTGAGCAAATAACAAGCATTCTGCTAACACCAAATGCAAGTTTTGTGATGATTAGACAGCTCAGGAGATATTTATCATCAGTGATAAGCAGCACACTACTGATAAGAAATACACTACCACCTTCCAGTGGCCTTGATTCAAAGTGCCAGTGAAAGGATTAGTGGACATGTCTATAAATTCAGAGCTCTAATTCATCCAGGAGCACAGCTGGAGTCTGCTGCTGGGAGTAAATCCCGGAGGGCAAAGATCTACAGTGCCTGAAGGTAAAGTATGGCAGTCAGTTTCAAGCACTCACAAAAGCTGCTTCCTCTTATCTTCCACAAATCCTTTTATCCTCCAAGAACTAACTACGCTATCACAGAAAAGTAAAAAATGTGGATTTTTAAATGTTTTCTCAGCTTAGCTCCTTTGAAAAAGCACTGCAGCATTGTACCACTTACACTTGGAGGAAAAAAAAGGGCCTTGCTTGTGCACAACCAAGCATAGAAAACAGCTGAAAAAAATGTGTTTTAGTTAGTGAAGGTCAACACATACCATATGAAGGCTCATTTCTTCTTTTTAGGGTAATGACTTGTTACAACTGTGCATCATTTCCTAAAGCAGAGATCAGATCTCTGTTCGCCTTGATCACTTTCGAAATACCAGGGTTAAGGGGGATTTCAGGCTCTGCGCTGCCCTGTGGGCACCATTTAAAGCTCCCCATGGAGAAGAGTCAATTGAGAGTGAGTAGCTGGAGGAAGCAATTTAGCGGTATTATTTCCACCATGAGCTCAGCATGTGGAAGTGAAAGCCAGGAAAGGCAAAACAACAAATGCTGTACAGATCACGTAAGGAGGATCCCTCCAGTTCTGTGGGAGCAGGTCTGTGGTGCAAGCTGGGAGCAGGGAGAGGAGAGCTTGTTACAGCTTTCAAGCACAGCAACAGAGCTCAGAACAACTGGGCCTCCTGAACCGCAGGGCCGATTTGAGGCTGGGAGAATTAACCCTCTACTCTGGTTCCCTGACACCCGGTTACCGTTTTGACATCAGCTGTACAGCAAGATAAACTCTGCTGGCTTATGCATCAGTTTTTTTCCCTCTCTGCCTAAGTGCAATTCTCTATTTTCAGCAGACAAAACTCTAGAAAAAGCTATTTAATTCACATTTTGACAGCACATGTCTTTGCAGGTAACAAGGTTCTTGAGCATGTTTTTTTCAAATGTGTCTTCCCTCTTATTCTTTTCCCATCTGTAAATTTTCAGCATGATACTTCCCCCGCTTTCTTTTCCTCTCTAAATGCATTTACAGCCCCTCCTCACCAGCAGGAGATGGCTTGGATGTAAAGTCCCTTCCATTCCCTTTTATTCTGAGCTGAGACTGTAATTGATGGCAGACAGGATGCCACGTAGCCTAATAGCAAATTATGCTCCCAGCAGCTTGTGACTGTCTCTCCCCATGCTCCCTGCAATCAGTGGGAGGGGGAAACATCCTGTCTCTCTCTCAGCCATCCACTGGAGGGACCAGGACTGCTGTGGGCATGGTCTGAGCAACATGGATACTGAAACAGGGAGAAAAGTCAATCACTACTGATCAGCTCCAAACAGCAGCACTTCTCCTTCTAATTACTTCCCTTCCTTCCTGCTCATATTGCCACTTCTCTCTGCAGCGGTCAGTATAGCCAGTTTCACACTGACTCTGGGACAAATGTGTCATTTGAGATTGTTCACTCCCAACGTGACAGATCGGGCACATCTTCAAGTATCTGCTTAAGGCATCAAAGTCACAAAGCTGATTTGTGCAGTTGGGTGTTTACATGGTCTTTGGTCTTTTTTTACAGTAAAAGGCAACTGTCCAGCTGAAGTCACTCATATGATATACACACCACTGAAACAGAAACCCAGCAGTGAGTGCAGGCGAGCGTTGTTCCTCTGCTCTCACCTCTGATCCTCCACAGCCTTGCAAGTGACAAAGAAATCTTTCCTCTCAGTTCTAGTAATGTGCTTCCATGAAAGCATTACACAGTAGGAGCAGGATACTAAGTAATTTTAGGTTTACCACTTGAACTAGAGAAAACGTCTCAAAATCATATTAGAAAAAGTTATTTAACTCTCTCATAGCCAACTGTCAGTATACCAACAGCTTGTTAGATGCAATAATGGCCCCAGACAAACGT